CTACCTGACCCTAAAACTAACCTCACAGGTCCTACCTGACCCTAAAACTAACCTCACAGGTCCTACCTGACCCTAAAACTAACCTCACAGGTCCTACCTGACCCTAAAACTAACCTCACAGGTCCTACCTGACCCTAAAACTAACCTCACAGGTCCTACCTGACCCTAAAACTAACCTCACAGGTCCTACCTGACCCTAAAACTAACCTCACAGGTCCTACCTGACCCTAAAACTAACCTCACAGGTCCTACCTGACCCTAAAACTAACCTCACAGGTCCTACCTGACCCTAAAACTAACCTCACAGGTACCTACCTGACCCTAAAACTAACCTCACAAGTACCTACCTGACCCTAAAACTAACCTCACAGGTACCTACCTGACCCTAAAACCAACCTCACAGGTATCTACCTGACCCTAAAACTAACCTCAACTCAATTCACACCTTGGTCCTAAACCCAACCCCCAACCTGAAATTACCATCTGTACCCCCATGATGCACATTCGGTCCCCACAAGGCTGCCTTTTTCTGGAAAACATTTCCTACAATGTAGAAAAAATGAGGATTTTATGGAGGCACCACTGATGATGTGCCTCTAGTGCCTTCAAGTGTCTGCTGAATGTGGTCCATGCTTACGATCCATACAGCAGCGTTAGAAGAACAACCGCTTTACAAACCAGGGTTTTATAATCCAGGGTTTTATTAACCAGGGTTTTATAAACCAGGGTTTTATAAACCAGGGTTTTATAAACCAGGATTTTATAAACCAGGGTTTTATTAACCAGGGTTTTATAAACCAGGGTTTTATAAGCCAAGGTTTTATTAACCAGGGTTTTATAAACCAGGGTTTTTGTCCTGGTCTGGAGATCGTGGTTTTCAAAGACCCTTGTTAGCCCCACTGACAGCTGGGAAAGTGTTGTATCTCCTCGCTGATGAGAGGAGGCTGCCAAGGTACTTGAAGTGGTCCACATTCTCCAGTTTTGTATTGTCAATGATAGTGGTGGGTCAGACAGGGGTACTGCTGCTATTGGGCGGTGGCTGGTAGAGGCTTTAATTAATTGACTATCACTATCTGTTAGCAGCCTTTGTCCATCTTTAGATCGCAGTGAGGTTAGACAGTGGTGGAGCCATATACTGCTTTCATGTCATCAAAGAAACCTCTAGCTGCTGGATCTCCAGAACCTTCTTTATCCAACATTCATTCTTSAGGGCCCTAACTCTGGACTGGACAGCTGCCTTTGCTATGACACGGGCTGATGGCTTAGCTTTGCAGTTGATGTGATTCTGACAGGTGAGCTTACTGCTTAGCATCAGTGAGTTCTTGGATTTTTAGGTCATTCTCATCAAACAAGTGTTAATAGGTTTTGTAACCAAGGGTGCTGGTGTAGGACATGAGCATGTCCCAGTGCTGTTCAACTTCAGCTACTGCATTATTTGAGGAGATCTCCATGGAGAGAAGTCAGAGTTGTCGTGGGTGGTGTCTCCTAACAATTTGATGTTGAACTTTGGCCGGCCCTGCTTTTTCTGCACCCTTCTGTTGCTCATGAGACAGAATAAGGTGGTGGTCTGTCCAGCAGTCATCTGCACCGGTCATTGCTCTGGTGTTCAGGACTTCATGGCAATCTTTGATGCAAACAATGACATAGTCAATGAGCTGTAAGATTTTGGAGCGAAGATGCATCCATGATGTCTTGAAGTTGTTTTTCTGCCAGAACAGTGTGTTGGTTATGTTCAACAAGGTTATGTTCTGATTTTTGTTAGCGACAGTATGCCACTGGAGGTTGTGTTCCTCACTCCTTCCCTCCCCATTGTGCCTGTCCAGAGGATGTGGTTTTGACCCACTCTGGCATTAAAATCTCTTATCAGGACAAGCTTGTCCTCCTTGGGAAACTTGGTCATGGTGTTATCCAGATCACTGTAGACCTCCTTAGTTTCCTGCACAGCAAGGTTTGGAGTATAAGGGCTAACGACGGTGGCTATTACACGACATGCAAGTGTCAGACATAAGCTTTCATTGAAGCTCGAAGAGATGGATAATAAATCTGTTCTTTGTAGCAAAATCCACACCATGGAGTTTTGGCTCATCAGATGGGTCCAGGAGAAAGTGTATCCTATCCACCCTTTGTTTCTTCAGCTGGCATTCATTTGCCAGGCAAATTTCTGAGAGAGCTTCAATGTCAATCCAGAATCGCTTCAGCTCTCTGGAAATGATAGCTGTTTGCCTTTAGGGTCGATCACTGCTTTGGTTTTCCATGGCTCCAGGTACTAATGGTGTCTTGTTGTCAGTGTAGTGATCCCTCTGGATGCAATCATCCAGACAGCAATGTTTGAGGCAGGGTATGCTTAGGGTACTTTTTCTAATCCCCTCACTTATCCTCGATTACAACCACGAGGGTCTCCTGTCCCTCAGTGAAACTGCTGCATCATCTCAAGAAATGATGAAGACGATGGTTGTTTTGATCTCTRCAGCCGTTCTTTGAACGTCTGGTGAAGAGGAAGTGGCTGAGCAACACCGAGCCCTACGAGCAGATCGAGGCGCTTATCAAAGAGGACTTTAAGAAATACCGCAGGATGGACAACCCTCCGTATCAGGTACTACAGTCATGTTACCACAGTACCAGGTACTACAGTATCAGGTACCAAAATATCAGGTACCACAGTACCGGGTGGTGAAGGTGTGTCAGCGCCCCCTGCAGGTGGGGGTGTTTCTGACCCCCTGTGTGTCTCTGGTCCTCAGCTGCTGGTGGCAGAGGTGCACCGGCGGGTGGTGATGGAGTACCTTCGCTCGGTCATGAGAGGAAGAATCATCTGCACCTCCATGAAGATGAGGAAGAGGATGGCCGGCCGCCTCAGAGATGAAGGCAAACAGATCAAAGCCCTCTTCAAAGACCTGGTTTGTCTTCACTTCCTGGTCTTCAGATCCTGCAGGACTTCGGTTCTTAGTTCAGGTCTGACTGCCTGTCTCTGTCTCAGGAGTCTCCGTCCAGCTGGTTGGACAGCGCTCTGTCCCACATCTCAGAGATCATCCAGCTGGAGGATGTCCCGTCCATCCAGATGGAGGTGGGGGTTCTGGTCCGAGAGTTCCCGGACATCAGGTCTGCAGAAGCTGTCCCCCCAAAAACTGAACCACAAAGATTTACTGAGTCTGTCCTGGAGTTAAACATGTCTGATTCACCTCCTCCTGCTCCTCTTCCTCCTCCTCTTCCTCCTGCTCCTCCTCCTCTTCCTCCTGCTCCTCCTCCTCTTCCTCCTGCTCCTCCTCCTCTTCCTCCTGCTCCTCCAGGAAGAAGCACGTGTCGGCCATCTTGAACCTGCGGGGCCTGACCCGGCAGGCGGAGCGTCAGGAGATCACCAACATCGTCAGAGACATGGAGAGTAGTGACGGGGGTCCAAGCCCTCTGACCCGGGACAGGGCCCTGTTCTGTGAGGTACCGGTCACCTCCGAGGTCCACTGCCTGAACCTGGGCCTGAGCCGGGTCGCCCTCACGGCCTCGTCCTGCTTCTCCTCGCTCAGACCTCGTCCACGCAAAACCCGAACGCCGGTCCAGGAGGAAGTTCTGTGAACGAGTCCAGGTCCAGTTTGAGGGTCTGGACTCTGAACTGGACCTGCTGCTGGTGGCGCTAGTCCAGTTCAGAGTCCAGACCCTCAAACTGTTTCTGACACAAAAACAAAGCTTTGAGTTGATTTGTCTGTTTGGATTTTTAGTGGACTAAAGTAGAACCTCTGGTCCAAGACCTGACCTAGAAACCAGGTCCATGAAGGTCTTGAGGAACAGTGAATATGATGAAGATGAAGAAGATGATGATGATGATGATGATGATGATGATGAGTTATAGCACAAAGTCTAATGTTTCCAGTAGACCATTTGGAGACATGAGGGACAACCAGAGCTGGACTTCATGGTTTCATCTTTTTGATCAACAGGACCGGTTCAGTCCTCCGGTCCTCCTGGTCTGAGTTTGGGTCTGCAGCTTCTGAACGTTTTGACTGAACAGCACTTTATCCAGGAAATCTGAGACTAAAACTGACTCTAAGGTTCTGATTGGGTCTGATGAAGTGCCCCCTCTGGTCCACACCTGGAACCTGGTCTGAGAACCTGCAGCTGGACCACACAGTCAGTAGAATCAGAGAAAGTATGTCCTGTTCATGTTCATGTGGGCGGAGCTACGGGGAGGTGAGGACGACCTGTAAAAGTGATGTGGACCAGATTTAGAGAGGATCCATGTGGACCAGATTTAGAGAGGATCCATGTGGACCAGATTTAGAGAGGATCCATGTGGACCAG